GATTGGAATGATAGGAAACAAGCCAGATTAGGGGAAGAATTGTAAGATATAATCCTCCAGTTTCCTTGTTAGTGAAGTGCAACTTCCTTGCACTTTCATTACACTTTCATTGCATTTTATTTGTAGCTTCCTTGCAGCTGCAAAGGACCTTCATAGCAGCCCCTTTAGGCTGAATTTTCAGCTTTAGTAATTTCTAGGAAAGTGTTGAATAGTAGCTTTTAGTTCCTATAAATAGGGATGTAGTTTTTCATTTGTAAAAAAAACACAGAAAAGCTTAATACTCAATACATTGAGTTGTTCACAATCTTCTTCTTTCATCCTAAAAGTGTTCGTTTGTACCGGAAGCATTTTTTGCTTACCTGAGCAGTGAACGAGCAGGGACTAACAAAGTCGAGGTCTTTATTTAAAGCTTGATTGGTTAATGAGTCGCGCTCGACTCGACTCGACTCGATAAGGCTCGAAAAGAAATTTTTTATATAATTTTATATACTTCGACTTGGTAAAGCTAATTTTATATACTTCGACTGGTAAAGCTCTGGACTGGCTCGTTAAAGCTGGAACTCCACACGTAAATATGTAATGGCAACATAAAGAATTAAAAGATGTAAATTAGCTGCCTTTCTGCCATTTTATGGAAACCCTTTTGCTTGAATTATGTGTATTTTTGTTGTTTTTTTTTTCTCCTTTATGTTTTTCATCTTCGTTGGATTTAAAAAATTTCAATAATTTGGGGAAAAAAAGGAACAGATCCCAAAAGTAAGCTGCTATGCATACCAATAATTTGGTGCTATTTTTTTTATCCGTAAATAAATTTTATAGATCAAAACTGATTTTACATCGACCGTCTCGCAGCAGACAAGAGCAAAATGGGTAACCACAATCCAGTCTTTTACTCGCTAATCAAAATGATGAGCGGCAAACCACAGCTCGGCTGCTCAACTCAAAGTAAAGTGGAACCGAAAATCAAACCGTCGTTGGTGCTATTGATGTTGTTTTCGTGCTATTTCCATTGTTCTGATTTATTATCAACCTTCAGTAAGGAAGCAATTGTAGAATTATAGCTACAAATTCCTCCTTTTATTATCAACTTCCATTGTTATGCTTTCCATTTTTAAGCTGTATGTTAATTAATTTCAAGAATCTCCTTGTGATTGTTTACAGTATCAAATCCATAGATTGTCTCCATACTGTGAGAACTTCGAAAAAGACACCAAAATGAGCTCGAAAACCAAGAAGGAAACCGTGGCCGATAATGGTGGTGACACTGGCGAAGACTCTGTCCTAGCCACTATGGTTAGCAATGGCGAGGGCCTTGGGCCTATGGTCCGTCTCGCCTTCGAAACGGGCCGACCCGAATCCCTCCTCTACCAGCTCGAAGGCCTCGTCAAGAAAAATGAAGTTGAGATCGAGGAGCTCTGCAAGCTTCACTACGAGGAATTCATAATCGCAGTCGACGAGCTACGTGGCATGCTGGTCGATGCCGAAGAGCTCAAGTCCGAGTTGTCTAGCGATAATTTCCGTTTACAGCAAGTTGGGTCCTCTCTACTCTCCAAACTCGAGGAGCTTCTCGAATCCTACTCGATCAAGAACAACATAACCGAGGCCATTAAGATGTCGAAAAACTGCGTTCAGATCCTCGATTTGTGCGTGAAGTGTAATGGGCATGTCTCGGAAGGCCGGTTTTACCCGGCCCTCAAAGCCGTCGACCTAATCGAGAAAAATTACCTTCAGAATAATATTCCTGTCCGGGCTTTAAAGATTCTTATCGAAAAACAGATACCAGTTTTAAAATCCCACATCAAGAAAAAGGTTTGCAGTGAGGTGAACGAGTGGTTAGTTCACATAAGGAGCGACGCTAAGGATATCGACCAAACTGCAATTGGTTATGCCTCGGCTGCTCGCCAGCGAGAGGAAGACATGCTGGCCCGTCAAAGGAAAGCCGAAGAGCAGAGCTGTTTGGGCCTCGAGGATTTGAGCTATATGCTCGATGTTGAGGAAATCGACGAGAGCTCGATTTTGAAATTCGATCTCACTCCCCTTTACCGAGCTTACCACATTCACGACTGCCTCGGGATACCGGACGAGTTTCACGATTATTACTATAATAAACGGTTCTTGCAGCTGAAGTCCGATTTGCAGATCTCTTCCACACAGCCTTTTCTCGAGTCCCACCAGACGTTCTTGGCCCACATGGCGGGGTATTTCATCGTCGAGGATCCTGTCCTGAGGACAGCTGGCGGGCTACTGTCTCCGACCGAGCTCGAAACAATGTGGGAGACAGCTGTTGCTAAAGTGACCGCCGTTTTGGAGGAGCAGTTCTCGAAAACGGACTCAGCGAGTCATCTTCTTTTAGTGAAAGATTACGTGATGTTTTTCGGGTCGACTCTCAGACAGTACGGTTATGGTGGCACCAATTCTCGAAACCTTAAACAGCGGCCGGGACAAATACCACGAGCTCCTCTTGTCCGATTGTCGGCAGCAGATAACCGATATTCTTGCTAACGACACTTGCGACAGATGGTGATGAAAAAAGAATCGATTATCAGTCGAACGTGCTTCTTTTCCATTTACAAACATCGGATATAATGCCCGCTTTTCCGTATATTGCTCCGTTTTTGTCGATGGTCCCCGATTGCTGCTGAGTTGTGCGCTCGTTTATCAAGGACTCGGTGAACTACCTTTCTCACGGAGCCCAGATGAATTATTTCGACTTCGTTCGGAAATATCTCGATAAGCTCTTGATCGATGTTTTGAACGAGGTTATACTTAAAATAGTCCACAGTGAGAAAACGGGCGTGTCTCATGCCATGCAGATAGCGGCTAACATCGCCGTTTTGGAAAAGGCGTTCGATTATTTTCTCCAGCACACGGCTCAACAGTGTGGAAAAAATCCCGTTCGCTCGATCGATCGGCCGCAAATTGGATTAACGGCCAAGATTGTCTTAAAAACATCGAGGGACGAGGCATATCTCGCTCTCTTGAACCTGGTCAACTCGAAACTCGACGAGTTCATGAAGTTGACCGAGAGCGTAAACTGGACTTCAGACGAGATTTCTCAACACGGGAACGAGTACATAAACGAGGTCATCATATATCTCGACACGGTCATGTCGACAGCTCAGCAAATCTTACCACTCGACGCTTTGTATAAAGTCGGGAGTGGAGCTTTGGATCATATCTCGAATACTATAATGGGGGCTTTCTTAAGCCACAGTGTTAAGAGATTCAATATGACAGCTGTCACGAGCATTAATAACAATTTGAAGGCTTTGGAGTCTTTTGCGGACGAGAGGTTTCACTCGACCGGTCTGCACGAGGTTTATAAAGACGGCGGGAGCTTTAGGGGCTGTTTGGTTGAGTCGAGGCAGTTGATAAACCTTCTCACGAGCAGCCAGCCGGAGAATTTCATGAATCCAGTGATAAGAAGGTTGCGAGTATTTGCGAGAAGTTTAAGGACTTGGCTGATGGGCTTTTCGGCAGCCTCTCGAACAGAGCTTCTAAGCGGAGCGCGAGGAAGAAGTCGTCGGATATGCTGAAGAAACGGCTGAGGGACTTCAACTGAGAGTGGAGCTTCTAGAACTTTCTTTAGACCCGACTTAGAGTTAAGTTCGAGTTTTTTCTTGCGTTTCTTCAGGTTTTTATATAATGGTGTTAAAATTTCTTCGGGTTCTTACTAATAAATTTTACTAAATCATAAAATAAGAACAATACGAAAGTTCCAACACAAACCATAGTAGAACCTCATACAGTAAAAACCGAACAATTTGAAGTTGTGTGCCCCCCCAAATATACCCAACTCATATAACTGTACATACGTTTTTTTACTGCAACAGAGGATTTACTCTTACTCATAAACAATCCTCATTTTCCCAGACAGAGAACCAACACCGGACAGCGTTTTTACTGTCGAAAATCCCCCCGAGTTTAAAGTCAACACGAGAACAGAAAACGGGCAAAACGAAAGCCAACACACAAACCGGAAAGGACGGTTTGGTCTTTTCCCAATCCCTTTTCCTCCCACACTACCGAACTTTTTTTTATCTACATTGCATTGTATTTTCATGTGGGGTGTGTGTTGAGCTACATATTTGCACCCGAAAAACGAAAAAAAAAAACACGATCAATCTGTTCGAACCTCAACAAGATCTTCAATCTTCATCCCTTTTTGCTTTACGCGCAAAAATGCGTTATTTTTTCTGTTTTTTCTTCTGGTCGAACGCGTAAGGTAAAATCCCACCGAATATCTCCATGAACGACTCCCATTCCTCGTCTTTCAGGTCACCAAACGAGACCTTTTCATCAGTCGAATCGTCAAATAAGTCAACAGATGATATTCTTGTTGGTCCTTCACTCAACCGAGACTTAGCATACAAGCACAGCTTCTCTAACGAGCTCCGATTTTCTCGACCCTCGCAAAAATCTCTACTCATCATTTCACCTATATCCGCAAGGCACAATCCATGACTCGCTGCTCGCTTCAAAAACACAGTGCACACAATAAGAACGCGAATAGAACATTCCTTTATCAAAGGAAGCTCGGATCTCAAAAGCTCGGCATCTTTATATGGGTCAAGACTCGATATGTATTCAGCCTCCGCTTTCCCAAAGGGAACCGAGGCCTGAGGCCAATGCAGCCACTCGAAATACGGGTCATTAAGAAACTCGGGCAAGCAAAACCCGTGATCTATCGGGACTAAATCTCTCTTCCCCGAACCTACAAGAATATTCCCTGCATGCCTGTCGAGATTCATCAGCCTCACGTCCAGTATTCCTATTCGGTGCACGCTCGGGACCGGGAAGCCCGACGGACCAAGATCCCCGGCATCCGATTCATGGTCCACAAATTGCTGAAGGGACACGATTTTGCAGTTCGGGCCGAACTTAAAATGGAAGAATTTAACCAGAGCAGTCGGGGGCACGCCGGAAAATCCGCCGTGGTCGAGTAGATAAGCAGCCGACTCGCGGGGCCCGATCTCTCCTGACCCGATTGGGCTTTTCGTACATTCCGGGCTGTCTATGGGCTTGATGACAGCTAGAATCTGACCATTCTGGGCTCGCAGAAAGTAGGCCCCACCAAGCCCACCCAAGGCCCGCTCGAGGCTGAACCCATCAGCCGTGGCCTTGGCAACCTCAAGGATCAGGGCCCCAACGGGTTGAGAGGTGGGGCCCGTGATGAGCTCGATTCTTGAATTGGTCGTGGAGCTTTTGTCTGTATATGAAAGGCAAGGGGTCGAGAGGCTTCGGTTGATGTAAGTCGACTTGAAATGTGACTGATGAGGCAGCTCGGGTGGGTCGAAATCGAGCATTTTGAAGTCGAAGTGGGGGAAGGATCGGCAGTTACATCTTCTGGGCCGGGTTAGTGGTGGGGCTCGGTGGGCTTGATCGAGAGCTATGGCCATTTTGAGGATTGTTGTGCATGCTATGGATTTTGCTCTGTTGAATTGAAGTCTATATATGGAGATTAGGCATCACATTTCTGCAGTCAAAGGATTATCACATCAAAATGAGAAGAATCAACAATATCAAGTGAAGGATTTGGATTATTCAATGAAGAGAAAGGAGATGAGTTAAAAATTAAAATATGCAGATATAAATATGTAATTGAAGGAACATCGTACTTGAAGTTGGGCAGGATTACCCTCAAAAGTCCCGATTAATAGAATTGTGGCGCCAATCTCCGTAAGCCTACAATATGCAAACATAAAGCTCAATAATCTCCTTATCGAATCAGTTGCTCTGACTCTCTCTTTGTAAAGTCAATTTTGACAAACATTGAGAAAGTTGAAAATTTAAGAAATCTTAATGAACTAACTAAAATGTCAGTTAAGAAAATAAACAAATAAATAAATGACGAACAAGTTATTCTCGGAAAAGATATTATGAGAAAAAACACAGATTACCGGCACGTGACAAGATGACTCGTGCCTGCAGCATACACACCTATGCTTAAAGCTCAACAAATCAACCAATTATGTCTGATCAATCTTAAAGATCAAAGATCAAAAGCCTAAAGTACAAAACTTAATAACATTTCTTATGCAGATAATAATAAACAGCAGAGACATTGCAGCAAGTCAAGTAAGATACGGAGCTTCCGACACCATTTGACTCTTGAGAGACGTAAACATTATACGGCATAGAGTTACTTCATTCGTCTCTGAAAAGTGTATTTTAACCCAACAAAATATGCACCATTCCAAAAAGGAGATTTATAAAATTGGGATAAAAGCACCCGAAACTTGTAAGAATTCAGAAAATGGGATAGATGAAAATCGGAAAAACTTGGTTTACAGTAATTAATAGAAGCTCACCGTCTTTTAAGGTATTTGTTGTTTGCTCTGGCGCTTGGAAGTTGCCAAAATAAACTGCAAGGCGATAAGTCTTTTCTTAAGTATTTCCCATTTGACTAAAACGTTGGAAGATGAGAACAAGAAAGAAAGAAAAACAAAAAAAACAACTACAGCCTCGCCTTCTAAACCGAAATTCATGGTAATCTCAAGTATTGGTTAATACTCCTCTGCAAATCATCATTGAGAAATCTATAGGTCATTGAAATGAACAAAACCGATCGACACATACCGAGGAAGTCATAATGGAACGATAACAAGATGAACAAAACAAACGCATTTCAGGCACATGTCGATGAGTGAGGACAAAATTGTACGAAAATCGCAAAGTTAAACCATAGTATTTTTTTCGTTTGAAGAACACAATTGTCGAAAATCAAAGGCATAATAGCAGCATTATTCTTCACAAAATCTACAATATTCTCAATAAGTAAACACACAGCACATGCAAAACCACCTCGTTCATCCCCAATTAACATAACAAGAGAAGGCATAACCACCAGAATACGACAATTACGTCCTAAAAATTTCCAAAAAACTGACAGGATCATCATACGATTCTGTCTAACTGTTTCGATAAATAAACAACGAGATGTTTCATAAAACCATATTCGAAACACAAGCACAAAATCAAAAAACACGACCACGCAAGATCAGACAGCCAAACAACGTTAAAAACCTCGAAAACGCAATGCGATGCGATACGATTTGAACTTCAGGAAAAATCAAGCAATATAACAATAAAACAATAGAGAGAGAGAGAGAGAGAGAGAGAGAGAGAGAGAGAGGCGTACTCTGAACGCTGGAGAGGCGTTCAGGGGAGATGAAAAACGGCAACGGGAGAGCGCGAGAGCGAATTGTTCCGTCGAAGGAAAAAAAATCCTCCGGAGAAGATGAAAAGGACGGCTTTTATGTTCTCTCTCGTGTCGGAAAAAAAATTGTTCTCTTCTGTCACCCTGTGGGTCAACAAAGTTTTCCGATGTTTTTGCAATTAGACCCAACGGTTTTCCGTATTTAGTTAGATAGCCATTTGGATAATGTGTGTATGTGTGTTCAAATTTAAATTTTGTAACCAGGGTTGGCTCAAGTGGTAAGCAGTTTGATGTCGCTTAAACAATGTCTCGGGTTTGAGTCCTTGTGAATGCAGAAAACTCTTGTTGAGAGACTCACCCATCACTGCCAGGTGTACGACCCGGGACGACCAACGAATTAATCGGAGCAAAGCTCCAGATACCGTGACTGGCTACTAAAAAAATAAATAAATAAATTTCGTAATAATTTTGATTACATTTACATCTTAAGCTTTCTTAATCATACTAGTAGACTGAAAAAATCAATCAAGGTCATAAAGATATTAACTAAATTAAATTAGTTATTTTATTTTCAACTAAAAAAAAATTACGGTTATGTTTGGTAAAACTAGTTGATTAGCTAGATGATAGCTGATATGCTAAATTATAGTTTTTCAGTAATTTCGAGCTTATAGCTTGCAACTTATGACTTATAACATAAAAGCTAGCTTATTTGATAAAAGTGTTTGGTAAAATTAGCTGATAAGCTAGCTTGAATAAAAATTTGAACGACCTCATTTGAAAAGCCACCCAAAAAAACTTATGAGATAAGCTCGAATTTTTTTATAAAAGTTTGTCCTACCAAACAAAGCTTATTTAAAATACAAGAAACTTAAGGCTATGTTTGGTAAAACTAGCTGATAAGCTAGTTGATAGCAGATAAGCTAGCTTATAGCTTATCAGTAATTTTCGAGCTTATAATTTGTAGCTTATGACTTATAGCTGAAAAACTAGCTTATATGATAAAAGTGCTTGATAAAATTAGCTGATAAGCTAACTGAAATAAAAAATTCAACTAGCTTATTTGAAAAGTTACCTAAACAAACTTATCAAATGAGCTTGTCCTACCAAACAGAACTTATTTAAACACATGGAGCTTATAGCTAATCAAATAAGCTATAAGATAGCTTATTAGTTTACCAAACATAACCTAAAAGCTAGCCAAATAAGCTAAACTAGTTTATTAGTCTACCAAACATAGCCTACATATTGTAATAGTAGTACTGTGTATAAAATTAATATAAATGTAGAAGTTTTACTTTACAATATTGTTGTGAGATGTGTTTTGTCAAGTTTTGTGCCCATGTATTGTTGTAGTTTAATATGTAGTGTAATGGTTATTGGAAGTTTCAACCATAACTATTTGACTATTTGTACTTATAAAATGACCAATTGAAAAAGATAAAGATATTTTCTTAACCGATAATAATATATATTTATTTTAAGTTATTGAATTTAAACATAAAGGCATAGTATTAACCTCAACTGTGCATATGCACGGGTAAACGAGTATTATTAGTTTGTAATTAAAAAAAAAAAAGTTCATAAATGTACAAATAAATATGAATATATATATATATAATATTATTGTAGGTAAAAAATTAAATACAAATTATTTTTTTCCTGTTCATTTTCACAACTAGCTTTAGAAACGAAAATGTTATATTTTTCATTAATTAAATAATTATATTTGTTAGTCATTTTATTACATAATAGCTACTACGAACGAATTGTAAAGGCGAACCAATTTACATAAGAAACTATATACCCATGAAAAAATTATATTCCAAAACTTTCTTTTAAATTTTATTTAGAATAATTATCATTTTTTTTTCCATCTCATTAAGCACTTTTTATTAAAATTGGTTAGTTATTTTTCTATGTATAACCAAAACCTTTAAAGTTCCATACCCAATTATTGTACTAATAATTTAAATATTTTGTTATATAATTAATTGGTCATGAATAATCACTGAAGGTTACAAAAATTACATTATTTCAATCAATATGAATATATAATGATTCATATGTAAGTTAAATAGTTTATATTTATATCATTTATTTTACTATGGATAAAATTTATAAAAGTTAATATATTTATAATTTATTATAATTTTTAATATTATATACATACACATATAACTTATAAAAATTTATTTGCATCTATTCATGTGCACAAAACAAGTATTTTCGTATTGAATGGTGTATTTATTTGTATAAATGGCAGTACATTGGTTTGACAATTAAATATCCCTATTAACTGGTAAGGTTGCTTTGACAATTACATGAAAGCAATATAAATCGTTATATCACGATTTTTGCATCTTTGCGCAAAATATCATGACATTTGATATCTTAGCAAATGATATACCGAAGTTAGAAATCGTCCATCAACGCTTACTTGCCCGACTAATTTTTTATTACCCTGAATAAAAAAATCTAATATGTAATTTTGCCTTACATATAAAATGACATGGAAAACATGATCGAGAAATTTGCCTACTGCACATCTGGGTCGGATTTTATGGCGTGATCCTGTTCGGGGACTCTAAACTCACGGAGCTCCTACTCTCGCTCAATTGAATGCCAATGATCCATACCTAAACTCGACTGTTGTATTTCAACCGAGCGGCGTACATAACGACATGCTTTAAATGATGCGCATGACCCTATAAAATATATGGCATGTAAACTTCAGGCTTTGGTCGTTGTGTCCAATCTTTAATTGATTCGAGTGCAAGTTACCATTATTTTAGTATTATCTGTCGCATTAGTGCACTTAGCTCGGACCTTTGATATTAACTCATTTCATTTTGTCCAAGTGTTGAGCTCGGTTCTGCTAATTGATAATTTCTAGGTCGACCTTCCACTTATGGTAACCCGACATGTGTGTCCTGCCTTCTTCTTGCTCGACACTTAGTTGTTCGTGCTTTCTGTGTTTCCTTTCGCTCGCAATTCCCTTACCTAACTACTTGACACGACTATTTCTTCACTTAGTGACTGTATTTAATTCCGAATCCACCAGCTCAACTAAGATCTCAACAAAAATATTTAATGTATTAAGAAATAAACTGCCTAATTGTCATTTGACATGACACCCGAGCCTAATTATATGTCAATCCAAAACATAAAATTATAACAAATAGGACCTCGAAACATACGAGTCCGCTATATTGAGTACTAGCCTTGTCAAAATGGGCG